ATATAAAAATAATTTTTTATATAATATTTATATATCATTACATTAAATTACACTTAATATTATAAATTTAAAATAAATAAAAAAATTAATTATATAACAAATACATAAAATTTGTATAATAAAAAAACTTATTACTCTTGAATCGTTTTCCACGGCTAAATGTCAATACACGAATATTCATGGTCCAATCCGAGCCCTGCCAATCCACGTGTCCTTGCTTATCCAATTGTTCTCTTTCTGTACGGTGTTCTAGAAAACTACGTGGAAACCTCTCTCTTTTCCTAAAACCCCACTCCCTATTTTCCCACTCTTTCTCGCCTCTTTTCCCTCCATCCAATCACTCCCCTTAGCAATGGCTGCTCCATGTCTGAACCAGCCTCATCTCTCACTATCTTCGTCCTCTTCATTCTCGTGTTCCTCATACTCAGCTTCGTCAATTTCTCTGCTCAGTTTCTCGACACCTCCAATCCCTTCATTTTCTTCTTCCAAATCCACCTTCTTTAATCCACTCTCCAAGAACTTTAGGCACGTTGAATCCACACCGCGAACTAGCATCAGCAATTGGCCGGTGATTCGTATGTCATGGGACGGTCCTCTCGCTTCCGTTAAATTGATGATTCAGGGCAAAAATTTGAAGGTTCGGTTCTTGTGAAAATTCTATTTCATTGTGTTTAATTTATGAAAATCATGAATCTAAATAATTCAGGGTAGCATTAGTTCTTAGCAAGATTCAATCTTTTTATTGTTGAATTGAGGAATTTCTGGTAGAGTTCTTGCTCGCTATGATGTGTAGTAATAGATGCAGAAAATGTTTTGCAGCTTATTTTTACAAATAATAAGTAGGAAAGAAGTGTATTGCAGCCTGAACTGAGGGTTGGGCCATGACATTGCGGGGTTACCCATTCAAGCATCCCTATTTTGCAGTATGGTACAATCTAGACTGCAAAAGAGCCTACTCATATAAGTATCTCTAGGATTTTGAGAGAATTCTGTGTGTGTGTAGGTGTCAGATGCAGTTAAGCAATATGTTGAAGATAAGGTTGGTAAGGCAGTTCAGAAGCATAGTCAACTTGTTCGAGAAGTTGATGTTTGGTTGTCTGCCCGTGGGGGAGAGTTTGGAAAAGGCCCGAAGGTTCGAAGATGTGAGGTACTTTTTGATCTGGTAGATGTGTCTGTGTTGGTTGGAGACTGTTTGCATTTGCATTTTACTTATTGTTCTGATTGGGGCTTTCTTGTTAAGGTGACTTTGTTTACGAAGAAGCATGGAGTCATTCGTGCTGAGGAAGATGCTGAGACACTATATGGGAGTATAGATTTGGTCTCCTCAATCATACAGAGAAAGTTAAGGAAGATTAAGGAGAAAGATTCTGATCATGGTCGCCACATGAAGGGCTTCAACAGACAGAAATTTGGAGAGCCGGTGATAGAAATGGAGGATGATGTAGATGCAGTTCCCCAGCAAGAGGAAGATGGCTTTATCGATGAGGTTGTCTCTCAAAATTCTTGATCTTATTTAATTGTTCCTGGCATGATTTTGGTAGATATGTTATGCATGTATTTGCTCATATCCTTGGTGCATAACATTGAAAACATATGTCACCAAAGGATTTCTCCCTAAATGAAAATGCAATCTATATTACATCCTATTCCTAGATTCAGCTGGAGTATTCATTCAGGGATGGTTCCAAAGTTAATAATATTCTTAGCTTATTTTTTGCAGCATTAATCCGCACTTATTCTTTCTTTACGTCTAATAATGCCATTGTGTTGTTATTTTTCAGATTGTTCGAACCAAATATTTTGAGATGCCACCTCTGACTGTCTCTGAGGCAATTGAGCAGCTGGAAAATGTTGACCATGACTTCTACGGTTTTAGAAATGAAGAAACTGGTATGTATGAAATATGCAATGCCTCCCATTTTTTTTCTTCAGGATAATTTATCTGTGCTGATTAAACTCAACCATTCTGTGCTTGGCTACAGGTGAGATAAACATTGTATACAAAAGGAAAGCTGGCGGATATGGTCTCATTATACCTAAAGGGAAGGGCAAAGCTGAGAAACTAGAGCCTTTGGTGGTAGAGCCTGCTAGAGAACCCTCCTTGGCGGACTAAATGGACTGGGAAAGGAAAGTCTTTTTGCAAGACAGAAAAAGTCGAGAAGATACAATCTGTCTATAGATTTTGATGTTCAACTATGTAACTGGAGGCTAATGTTCCAACAGAGAATCATGAATATAGTGTTTGAGATGAACTGAAGACAGACGTTTTGTGTATATGGTTATGTCATGTCAGTTACTAGATTTTGAAAGATCATACGCACCATTTGGTGCCTGGTGTTTGGGAATTGGAAAACAACATTGTATGATCTACCACTCTGAATTCTGTATATAACTGAATTAGTTTCATGTTCTCCCAGGTTCCAAATGGATTCTAACATTTTTCTTTTATTGTCTGGTTTTACGTTAATATGGATGGAACGGGGAATGCCAATCAGGTGTTGGAACGGGGAATGCCAATCAGGTGGTGGCCCTGTTTGTAACCAGCCTTGGTGAAAGGCATTAGACATGGGTTCGAAACCCAGCCAGGCGGTCCATGTCAGTCAGAAGTCTGACCCCATCTCCTGCCCCTTGAGCATGATTGTAAAGAAATAACTGCTATTTCCTCCTATTTTCAGCCCGTGGACGATTAGACCAAAGGGGTATTTAAATAAAAATCGAAGCAAGCCAACCATTAAAAAGTACAAGAGTGAAGAGAGAATTTGGAAATTTGGATGCAGTGGTATGTATTTCGCCAAGATTCTTGCACTGGAAAGATTGGCTTCGGCCAGAAAAACCAAAAAAAAAAAGAAAAAAGAAAAAAAAGAAGGCCTCTTGTTCTAAACAAGCTTCATCAGTATTTCACAAAAACGGCATGATTCAGTTAGAAGTAACCTGAATTCCTATACCAGACACTGTGATTGCCACATCAAAATCAAAAGGAATTCTTGTCAATCAAAATAAGGCAATGAGAAAGCTTAAAGCAACCTCACTAATGAAGCAAATATGTACAACGAATAATTCAACAAAATTACCCAAATTCACTTGACTCTCACAACCTTTTTGGACAAGAACCTGTCAGCTGGCACAGTTAAAAGCTTGTTGAGAGACATTCCTTCCCCTCTGGTCTTCTTCTTTAATTCAAACCTATGCTTAATCCGGTCATCCAGCTTGTAACCAAGAAATGCTGGAAAAGCCAGTAGCTCGCTAATTTCTCGGCCCATCTCCTCTATCAAGTACTCCATCTTCTCCTCCAAAGAACTGGGATTATACTGCAACACCTGGGGATGTTTCTTGCTCATGGCAAGAATGTCTGCACAGGAAAACCCATAACTCAAGAATAGGCCAACGACCTTTTGCATGTTTTCACAACTTGTCCTGGTGACAGCTCCCAATGCCACTGCCAATTCCTTCGTTCTGTATTTGTATCCAATTTTGACTAAATACCCAATTTTAAGTGAGATGTTTTCCTCTGATAAGGCTAAAAACAAGGGGGCTCTAGTCAAGAACTTGAAAATGTCATTCGAATTCAGCCCACATTGCTTGAGAAATTCTGTTCTTGGGCGCAGTTTCCTATCTTTACTGGCACTCATCATATTTGGGAAGACCTGAATGATCTTGAATACTTCCTGGTCACTCAGACCAGCGTTTGATCTGAAGAACTCAACATGGCCCTCCATATGTTCTAAGCGGTAACTCAAAATAAATGGGAGTTTCCGCAAAACAATCCCTGTGGCTTCCTCATCTTCCCCACTAAGCTCCCTGAGAAACTGAACTTTTGGAATCAAATGAGCATCCAGATCATAGTTGAGAATGGCTGGACGTCTAACAATGATATCAGTGCCACCATATGGTTTCAAAAAAGTAATAGTCCTTTCAATATCTTCAACTGACTTGATACAAAAAGCTTTGTTCAAATTGACATTGTTGAGAACATAACCAATCTTTTGTGGAGGGATTCCATGGTGAAGGAGCAGCTTAACCTTCTGATCAAAACCAAGCAGAAATCTTGGTTCCACACCCCTGAAAAAGCGTTCGAGTTGTGTTGAGTCAATCTCCACTTGTAAATCATTATTCAAAAAGCTTATCAACATGCCAATTTCCTCTGCTATCAGAACATCTGGGCATTTTGTAATCAAGCGAAAAAGGGCAATTCCTTTTATTCCAACTGACTGTAAAGCAAGAACCTGAGAACGAATTCTGTCCAAAGATGTTGACCTTAAAGTTGAATTCTTGGCCAAAAGTAAATTAGTTTCTCCATCATTGAGTCCAATTTCTCGAAAAAATGAAAACAGATCATCTGAAACAAGAACAAGTTGAAAATGTTTTCAAGAGCTTAAATGTCCGGAACATGTTTGATAAATTGCCTCAGAGAGGATTACCAACCTGTTTGAATGTGGGTATTTGTGCCAACGCAACTAAACCTGCCACGAAGACGTCTTGCGGCTTGAAAACTCAGTACTCCTAGAACCGGCCTAAGTGCAATCCTTGATGTTGTATTGAGTTGAAAGGAAGGGAACCATTCAACGCAGAATGAAATTCTTTGCCAAGATATCGAAGACGCTACTTTTGGGGGACCAACAAATTCGTGAGAGGGAAAGGAGATGCGGGAGGAAGAAGAAGAGGAGAAAGAATTTGTTAAAATGGTAATTGCAGCAACCATGGCGGATGAGCTCACTTCTGCTTTTGTATTTACCCCTCACCTGTAGTCGAAATGCTCCGCTCTTCAGTTCTCGTATTATCTCCTTTCTGGGTCTTTTATATGGCCCTATTTAACGGTGAAGAGTTAAAAAAACGCTGATTAAGGCGACGTTACTTAAACGGCTTTCGCTTCAGTTATTTTCTCCAATTATATTAATTTAGAAAAATTACTTTCCGGTGATTGTTACATCCAATATTTTTTTCTACATAACATGAGTACACCTGACTTGGGTCAATTTCACGAGTATCTACAAGCTGTTAGACATCGAGTTAGAGTTGGTGTCCGGTGGGCAGAGGCCGTTGGACGAGTTATCCATATAAAATTGGAATTAAATTTTAATCTTCCAACAAGGAAAAATTTTAAATGCTACAGAGAGATGGATGAAACGGTACGAAAATGAAACATATTTACAAGGTGTTTTTGTTTGTCAAGAAATAAGAATGCCGGTAAAGTTGGAGTAGTGCGACTTCATCTTCAAGCCTACACTTCTTTCTCCTGTCCCGGATTAAAATGGCTGCAAATAGAATTTGATTGCTGGTTTAAAAATAATGGACAGAATTGATGAAGACATTGGCTTATTGCATCCAACTCCCTCTTCTTGCCTCTGACTGTCCGTAAGGCAACTCTTGGGAGACTTGCTTCGAATTCTAGCTTGTAGGTATGGCTTTTATAAGAATAACAGATGATCTTCTCTTCCTCGATTTTCTAGACAATCTGGAGACAGGAAGATTGAAAGACATCAAATAAGAGCTACAACATCTTTGTACATGCATGTGAAGAAAACAGGAAATGGAGAACAAGATACGGAAACAACTGCAAGATGTTTGAAAATAAATGCTTGCCTCTTTCTGGGAACTTGGTTAAGGTCACTAGGTCTCTCTATGCAAACTTGCTCACTCTTGTCATCCTCAGGATTCGATCCCTACATAGAGGCAGCAGATAAAAGTATACAAGCAGGTTTCAGAACCTCTCGTGTCAATAACCAGATGCAGTGAATGCAATGCTAAAGGCTCCCTTTGCCATTGCTTTATTCTATGTTATCATGGAAGCAGCAATAACAATCTTAGACAAAAATTTCTACAAACGATGGGCAAACTTGGTAACTTCTGGTTTCGACAAAGGAAAAATTCAAATCAGAACAACATTGACATTGCCAAAGGAAGAAATAGCACTAAAATAATTCCAAACTAAAGCTAGAAAAGGCAAATTAACCTGGCATAATAGAGCAAAACTTCTATCAAAGCACATTGAACTTATATGGATTACCTCTGAGCAAAGCATAGCATACATAAACTCACAAGTATCATCCCCATGCAATGTCATAAAAATCACAAAAATAAATTACTTGCACTACCTGTTAGCTTGGAAATCTATTTTAAGGTGACCATTCAGCATTATTGAATTGGAGTCACCTAACATTTAATCTGCCAACATCAATCAAACCTCTCTAAAACCATTAACAAGAAACTGACGTCTTGTCTAGAGGGAGCCATCCCCTTTCCCGAGAGAAAGTGAGTCACAGCTGTCCATAATTGGACATTTTTGAGAGTGTCCCTCAGCCTGGTCACCATTATATAACACACGATTCATGTCTCACTTTAATCTCATATTCCCATCCTCAACCAGATATTGAATTGAATTTAGACCATCATAATAATAACTCTAAATTTCCAGAGACATTTCAACTCCATATAAGAAGACTGCAAGACCATTTTCCACAGAACAATATAAATTGGAAGTAAGAGATAATGATATCTAGTTTAGCTTTTACCACATCAATGCAAATGTTCCAACTCTAGATCTGTAAGAACTCAGACAGGTATATCAAACACTTGCTTCACTAATCACTAACCAAAACACATTCAGGATTTTCTATTCAGCAACTTACAGACTGTTGCAGTCCATACTAAGCAAAATGGTAATCTAAAATTATTCTATAATTCCATTTCAAGCTATCTATCTACCCTAAACATCAATGGAAGATATATAAACAAACTTCATTAATTCATGAAGAACATTCAATTGAACTTACATGAGTAGAGATCGATGCATATTCTCTTCCACTGGCATCGTTCAAGGTCGAAAGCTCCGAGCTTGCAATCTTTTGCTTCTTGTTGCAAACAGCATTACCATCAGCATTACCATCACATGTGCTTCCTTTCCTCTTTCTACCAAAGTTACGTGATTTTCCTTTCTTGTCCCTCACTTTCCAAATGTTCTTCCTCCTAAACACTAGCTTATCAAACTTCCATACCCCACAGCTTGTATCTATCACAGTCACTTCACTCTTTGAGAACCCCACGAGCTCGCTCTCCCCCTTTTCGGGCTCTTCTTCAACATCTCTGGCCTCCCCATTGTTGTCACTCTCTTCTTTGGCTTCTTTCCTCTTTTCACCTAAATTCAACGTCGACTTTACAGGCAGGATGTTCTCGCCTCTTCTCACACAGTCCGAGCTGCTCCTCTCTTCTTCTGCCATGTTAACACCGTTAGACGACGACTGGGTGATGCAAATTTTAGGGTTTCTTTGCTTTCTGGAACTCTTCTTCGCCGGAAATCTGGAGCTTTGACTCCGATCACCCATGTTGAAGAGCTCCGAGAGGACATTGCTCATTATACCTAGCCATTCTTTGTCTCCAGTCTCGCTGGGCCTCTCTCTGGCTACCGGCTTCAAATTCTCCACCGGAATGTCGTTGGACTGAGCCGTATCGGCGTTAGAATTGGGAGAATCGGAGGCATTGGTGATGGGAGAATCAGAGGAGTTAGGGTTGCTGAGGAAGTTGCCGAGGTCGAGATTGTCACCGGAAGGGAAGCCCTTGTTAGATCGGAGACGCTCCAGCCAGTTCGAACCGGACTTTCCGGTCGAGATGGAGCAAAGCATTGTCGGTGGAGAGCAGAGCGACGGAATTGCAGATCGAACTTGGACGAGTACCGAAGGGGTTTAGGAAATTGCCTTCGGCCTCTGAAACGCGGAGGCCGTCGGAGTAGTAAGAAGCTCTGGATTAAACGGGGGTGTGCGATGCGCACAGTAGTTTTGTCGGCCCATTGATTATAGTGAATGGTGGGCCTGAAGAATCATAATTATTGGGTC